ACCCTACCAACTTAGCTACAAGAAGATTCCTCGGTGAGTTGGGGAACATGTTCATCCTCTCAAGGGCTCTGGAGGAGGAGGGTTGTGGCCGCATTTTATGAATGAGTTCAGTGAGGTTGGACAATGTCTTAGGCATAGCATCAGCATGGCTGGACTAGCAGTGAGAGGGAGGTCTGTCTGTTCCTCTCTCATCCTCTAACCTGCGCACAGGAGAGGATGTGGATGGAATCCGTAAGACAGGATCACCACACTGCCTGGGGCCTAGCCTTGCTTGTAGGGCATCCTGAGATATGACCAGGAGGCCCTTGAGCGAAGGCAGCTTTTGTCCATGCTCAGTCACTTAAGAAAGCTACAAAACAGAAAAAGGAAGTGGAGGAGGTTGGGGACAGAAAGCCATCAAACAGTGTGGCATGGACACCCGCAGCTGACCTTGAGGTGCTCTTCCTGTACCAATGAGAATGAGGTTTTGATTAAGACATACAGGATGACTAAGTGGTGCTGGCACAGCTGGACCTTGTTGACTGTGCTCTGTCAGACCCAGTGGATAAACTGAGGCACAGCAGAGAGTGACTTGTCTAGAGTCCCTGGATGGAGGCTGAACAGGTAGGTGAGAGGCCACACTCCCTTGTCCTCACCTGGCCTCTGCCTAGACTGTGGGCACAGAGGAGGGAGCCAGGCTGTCCTGTGTGGGCAGGTGTGGAAGGGAACCAGGTAAGGGGACTGAGAGTGGGCTCAGTGCAGAGTCCCCAGGACCATCACACCCAGCCTTACCTAACACTAGGAGAGACTCTGCAGCAGGGTGTGCTCTAGTGAAGCAGAGGGGCCCAGGAGTGTTAAATCCCCAGGATTTCTCTTCAATTCAGAGTCAGGGCCGTTGTCTCCCTCACCTCTCTGCTCTGACTGCGTGTGACATGGGGTTTGTCACGCTTCTCTATGTCTCTGTTTTATCCTGATAGCGGGAGCCAGGATTGCTGCCCCGCTGAGCCCCAGCAGGCTGCTCTCCACCTATGGTGCTGGAAGGCTGTGAGAGGTAGAGAGGGCACTGGAGACCCTGGTCCCTCAGATGCCAAAAGTATGAGAGAAGGTGGAGGATCAGGATGGACACGTCACTGGTTGGAAGGCAGGGAAGGGGCTCCAGAGGGAGGTGAAGCCTGGCCCAGCCATGTAGGTGAGCTGAACAGGGGCACACACTTTAAAGAGCATTAGAACAGTGTGTGTTATCCTTCAGAAAGCCTTAGAATATATAGGGTTCATAATGTACAGCTCGTGTCACCTCCAGCTGTCACTGCATGTGCCCTGGCTCCCCTGCAGCTGGGAGCTGATCAATGCCCCTCTGCCTGCCTGCCATGCTCTCTGAACACACTCACTCACTTTCCCCATCTCTGAAGGGAATGTCATCAAAGAGACCTTGAAGTTCTGCACATGAACTGGTTACCTTTTCCATGGTAGCACTAGGGACTGAAGCCAGAGCCTCAAACACACTCATGGGCTTCCACTGCGGAACTGCAGCCCCAGAGACCAGGTTTCCATGAGAAGCCTCAGCTGGCCTCTGTGATCCAGTCATTTTGCTTCTAGAATAGCTTACAAATGACCCCAAAGAAGAAATTTTTTCAAGAGAGTGTTCATCCACTGCTGCTCACATGGTGGTTAGAAACTGCCTAGGGGCTCTCCCCATGCTCTCTCCCTCTGGCCCTACCTCCCTGACCTGATTCCTCCTGTTCACACTCCCCACCAGCCTTCCATCTACTGCACAATCCATTCTATTTCTCCATCCTAGGGAGATCCTCTGACCCCCATAGCTCTCCTTGTTACTTAGACTATCTGGAGGAGCAGTGGATCCTGGAGAGAGGGAAGGAGGGAGTGAAGAAGTGGAGGAGTGGGCAGGGGAGGCTGCAGATGGATGTATTACATAAGAGAACAGTAAATAAAAACGGGAAGAAGTTGCTTGAGTTTGAACAATTCGGGAGGAGGTCAGAGGACTGGATGGGCAAGAGCAGGCACAGGGACAGGGTCAGACAGGACTCCAGGCCTGGTGGGATGCAGGATCCTGCAGAAGAGGGAGGGTGTGTGCTCTGGGAAAGTACTGTTGTACCCGTGAATTTAACCCCTGTCACAGGACACAGGCCCTCGTGTGGGTGAGAAGCCACTCACAGTCACATGGGGAGAAGATGGAATGCTGCTGTGTAGTTAAGGGAGTGGAGATTCACATCTTAAATGTGGGGTGTCAATCACAATATCTTGGGGCTAAGTCCTGGGTCTAGCATTACTGTGAAAACTTGAGGCAAACCTTTATGATCTTCCTTCCATTTTAAAATGGGGTTCACAGACATCCTCATCTCATGAAGGGTGTTGTTCTCGTAATGAGGTGTGTATGAGGAGCTCTTGTGTCACAGACATACAGTAAATATTTCCTATTATCAGCAATCCCCATGTGTTCCCACCAAGTAGTTGACAGAACACCCCTTCCCATTTCTCCTTGTGTAAACAGTATATTGCTTTTCTTCATGGCTATATCCTTAGCTGGTAGCATCCTCCTGGGACAATAACAGGACAGGAGGGCTCTGATTGGCCGGGGTGAGGGGAGGGTAGACCAGATGACTGACATCTGGAAGGAGCAGCGCAAGGTCCTCTGGAGGTGGAGCGCTCTGGCTGTCACTCCTTTACCACCTGACTTCCCTCAGCTGTCACCATTGCCTCCCAGTTTGTTATTCTCCCTCCAGCCTGAACACCTGAGGAGCTGTGAGGACAACCTGTGATTGGTCTGAAGACATGGCAGCAAGCATGGAACCTGATGGTAGGCATTTCCTTTTTTCTGTCTTCTTCCATCTCACAAAGCTTCCAATGGGAATGGTTGCCATGCTGGACCCGTTTCCTTGTCCAAAGCAGGTCCTTTTGGTCTCAGTGGCCCACCTATGTGTGGTCACTGTGTCTATAAGTGTGCTGTCCTGACTGTGTGACATCCCCCAGAGGCTCATGCCTTAAACACTTGGGCTCCAGTTGGTGTTGCCATTTGGGGAGGTTATGGAAGTCTCAGGACATGTAGCCTTACTGGAGGGAAGTCCAAATCTGTGGTGGGCTTTAAAGTTTATAAACCTGCTGGGCGTGATGTGCATGTCTTAATCCCAGCACTTGGGAAGCTGAAGTAGGTGACACTTTGAAGCCATCCTGGTCCACACAGTGAGTTCAAGGCCAGCCAGGGCTACACAGTATGACTCTGTCTCAAAAATAAAATATAACAAAACAGGGCAAAAGTAAAACAGAGTTCATAGAATTGCTCCCCCCACCCCCACTTCCATTTTTTCTATTTTTCTTAGTTGCAGGAGAAATGTGATTTCTAGACCTCCACCACCTGCTTCTGTCCCTTAACCAACACTCTGGACATCTATCCCTGTGGAGCTGGAAGCCAAATGAATCTTCATAATGCATTTCTGTCTTAGCAGCAGAATACTAGCCATCTGTGAAGAAACTCTGAACACTCCTCTCTCTCTCTCTCTCTCTCTCTCTCTCTCTCTCTCTCTCTCTCTCTCTCACACACACACACACACACACACACACACACACACACACACACACACACACAGCCCCATGGGTCAGTGTTACAAGATCCTGGAAGGCTGTCCTGCTGAGCACGATGCAGAAGGAGAGACTTGGTTCATGCAGGTTCACAGGGAAGCAAGGTCTTCATTGGTAATTGGGGTAGAGTCATTCCTTTGATATTTTGGCACAGAATGTGGCTTTTTTCCTGTCCATATTCTGAGAATTTACATGAGGCTAAAACTAAAAGACAATAGAGTAATTTCTTTGTTGGGGAAAGATCAAGACATCAAAACATTGACTCTGTGGATGGTTATTAATGGTGATGCTTATACTGGTCTACAATGAAGAAAAGGAAGCGGGACAGAAGGAAATGAAAATGTTTGTCATTTTGCTTTTGGAGAGAATAAGAGCACTCGGGAGCTCAGTGTCACCTAATGGCTGTGACTGTCAAAACCTAAGAGGCTCTGAGGGGAGGCCCCTCTCTGCAGTGGGACAGTGGGAGGAGGCAGGACAGGCAAGGACCCAGCCAGCTAAGCTCCTGCTTGTGAAAGGAGAACGCCCAGAGCTTTCTTGCTCCTGGAGAGCCATTGCTGCAATGTGCAAAGCTGCTGTTGGTGTGGTTGACAGTGACAAGGGTCCATCCCAAGCTGGCAGCCAAACCTGGCAGTCCTGTCTGTGGGCACTGGCTGTGGAGTCATGAAATATGCAAGAGTCAAGTGGTCACTGCTGATTTTTCCATGGTATCAGAGAGCCTGAGTCCTTCCCATGTTCAATATACAGACTGGAATTCTGTCTTTTAAAACAAATTCTATTATTGACAAAAAGAGCTAATGGAGAACCCACTAGTGGCCTGAAAGTCACATTTGAAGACACTGTCACCACAGTGTTTGACATGTAAGAGGCTCATGATGGATGGAACAAGGGACAGGCCTGTGATTTCCCTCAGTAATGGAAACCCATGATCATGATGAACATATGGCAATTTGGTCCCAATTAGCAGCTCTTCCTGGTGTGTGGAGGGAGCAGGGTCTCTACATCTGCATATGGTATCTCCTTTGTATGTGTGGAGAAGGATCAGAGTGTAAATAGATGCAGAGGGAGGTGAACACAGAGAGACACGTGTGTGCATATGATAGATAATGAAATGAAGGAGAAATAATAGAGTGAACCCCTGTATCTCATTGTCAGAAGGACCCCAGTCCCACTAAGTAGCACCCTATATTCATGGCATCATTTGGACTTTATTACCTTATTTCCTTAAATTTTCTGTCTCCAAATACAGTTGCTGAGCAGCTGAGCTTTTACATATGAATTTGGGAGACATAACTGAACCTCCAAATTGGGTTACCCCATTAGGACCCATGGACAAATGATCAGGAATATGGCATTTCTCCATCTCCTGCTACTTGCCATTAAATCTCTTCCACACTGGCTTCTAACCTCATTCTTTCTCTTGGTAAATAATGGCAGGACACGAAATAAAAGAATTGATTGATTTTCTCACAAAAACACTCTGCAGAGAGGATCTGAAGCGCCTGATAACTGAAGATGAAGACTGGAAGGCTTTTGTGGAGGCATCAGGGTTGTCAAGGTAACCTGCATGGTGCCCCCAGCACTACCTGTCAGACCATGAAGATGAGGTTTTTCCTGGGCAGGCATATCCACTCTAGGTAGTCCCAGGGGTTAGAGCTATGGACCCTCTTTCTCAACCATCCAAGAGGAGAGTTTCTACCATGTTATTCCCTGGTGGAAATCATCTCAAGGTGACTGAAGATGTCACTCAAGGTGCCAGGACCATTCCTGCCATCTACTAGTTATGTGACCTTGGCAAATTAGTAAGCACTTCCTGAGTTTCACAATCATGGAACTGTAGTGTGAGAAAATCAGATCATGTATGTGGAGTTCTCAACATGTGGCCAACACAGTATGCATGCTCCTGAAAGTTATCACTGAGAGCTACCATAGAAAGTGGGAAGAGCTGGGCGGTGGTGGCGCATGCCTTTAATCCCAGCACTCGGGAGGCAGAGCCAGGCAGATCTCTGTGAGTTCGAGGCCAGCCTGGGCTACCAAGTGAGTTCCAGGAAAGGCGCAAAGCTACACAGAGAAACCCTGTCTCGAAAAACCAAAAAAAAAAAAAAAAAAAAAAAAACAAAGTGGGAAGAGACCAGGAACAAGGGTCTCCTGTAGGACTGAGGACGCAAGAACTCATTTGGTTCAGGTCACAAAAGTGTGGACATGATCAACATGTCCCCAGATTCTGTCTCAGTCACTTTCCTCCCATCTGAGGAGCTGGAACAACAGCAGGGTCCTTCTCGGGGCTGAGGAGGCAGAGAGCCCACAGTGCAGCTGCACAGAGCTGGGTTGACCCTGGCTGTCCTTACTGAGATCTGGAGCCCCCGTATGTTCAGTAGGAATGGGAATTCATTCAGTCTGAAAGGACGTGGTGATGACAGCCTGGGGTGAGGAACAGGTCAGGGATGGAAAACCAAGTGCCAGCACCCTTCCCAAAGCCCAGAGACCAGGGCCAGGGTCACAGCCAGGGTTCAGGAGAGACTGTGAGTGACCCTAGAGAGGAGGTGTAGGTAGAAGGCTGGGACAGCAGGGCTGGAAGGAGAGGGAGGAATTGAGGGCACAAGAAGGGGATGCTCAGGGTCCTAGCAGAAAACCTGTAAGAGGGAGAAGGGGCATTTATCCTACCTACATCAATGCCATGTTTCAAGTGTGTGCAGGGCTGTGCTTGGGTGTGCCCTTCACACATGTGTGTGCTGCAGAGTTCCCAAGTGGCTTTTGGGTTCTCTTCTCTTCTACACAGAGCTCCCTGAATATCAGGAAGGATGTGTGGCCAGAGAGTGCTTCCAGTGTCAGTGTGGTTGGAGGACAGTTCAAATAACTAGAGAGTTTGAGGGTGATCCCATGTCCCAGTCCCAGAGGAAAGTCCTTCCCCTATTGTCTTGCCCAAACTGAGGGGATTTCCGACCTTCTGATGACCACAGGTGGTCTCCAGGCCCCTTGCGTCTTCCCACATGGCCTTGCTATGTTCAAATGTGACACTGTCATCAGCGATGGTGTCTGTTAGCCTGGTGACCTCTGTCTGCAGGTGTCTGAACTAGACCTGCCCGGTGGTGGGTCAGGAGTGAGGGAGGGGTGTGAGTCAGTGTGGAGTCAGGACCAGTGGCAGCTGACCTGTCTTAGTCACCCGGGGCATGCACTGACCTCGTGAGCTCCAGTTAGGGAGGGAAAGGGCTTTGGGCATCTGCAGAGAGCAGACATCAGGCACAATGATCTGGAGGGTCCCTGGTGGCTCTGAGGGGTTTCTTTTTTTTTGTTTGTTTTATTGTTAAATTCTCAGAGATATCCTCATGGCAAAGTCTGAGGAAAGAGTCTCAGTGAGCCTCCCTCTGACACCAGCTGTTAATGAAGGACTACTCCAAACCAATCACAGGATTGAGAATGTTCATGACCAATCATAGGAATCACATATAAGATTGTTATCACATATTTACAGTTGATCTCGGAGCAAAGAGGATTAAAATAAGCCAATGAAAACATCCACCACACACATCTGAGAGAGTTCAACAATAAATAATTTCCAGTGATATGGGCCTCATGAGAACCTTCCTAAGGTCAATGCCATTGACTTTGAGCACCTCCGGAAGTCAGAAATGGCACCAAGTTCCCACCATACCCCATATCTTTAAGGTTGAGCATTTTTATAGGAAATTCTCGGGAACAGATGTATCTCAGATCCTACATTTTCCTACATGCCCTTGCCCATCTACAGAGTTCTCCTGGTAATGATGCTATTTCCTTGATTAAAGGCATTTTGATCAAGTGCCTCTCACTACAGTGACTCTACTGTACACACTGACCCCTATGGACTAAGGACCCTGAGTATGTATGATGTACCAAGTGCTCATGGTAGATGTGAAATTATGGGTCTGTATATATTTTTCCCACTGGGACTGTAGTATGAAAGTGAGGTTTGAATAAGATTTTAGCTTTAATTAATAACTGTTTTCCTCATGCACTTGACCTCTTCTGTCACAGTGAGCAGGAATATGCACTGCATGTTGCCCTGAATAAGCATTTAGCACAGAAGCCCACAGATGAAGATGATAAAACTCAACGGGAGATGCAGAAGAAGAGGTTTTTGGAAGAATTTCCTGTGTTGAAAAGGAAGCTTGAAGGACACATCAGGAGGCTCCGAGACCTGGCTGACCATCTTGACAAGGTGCACAAGGACTGCACCATCTCCAATGTGGTGGCCGACTCCACGGGCACTGCCTCTGGAATCCTGGGCATCCTTGGTATAGCTCTGGCACCCTTTACAGCGGGGGCCAGTCTGGCGCTCACAGCAACTTCACTGGGTCTGGGAGCAGCAGCAGCTGTGACTAGTGTCACCACCAGCATTGTAGAAAAATCAAACAGAGGGTCAGATAAGGCTGAAGCCGAGAAGGTGGTTAAAGCCAGCATGGACACACTACATGATATTTTAAAGATCATTCCTTCAGTCAGTGTCAAACTTTCCACTATTCGTAAGGATGTAGGCCAAGACAGAAAATCAAACAGACATCATGTCTTAAAGTCTATTGCTGGCACTTGGAGTTTATACTGTACTACCAGAATGGCCAGGGGAGTCAAATTTGCAAAAGGACTCAAAGTTGCAAGAGGACTCAAAGTTACAAGAGGATTCAGATTTGCATCAATAGGCCTTACTGGTTTAATGCTTGGAATAGATGTATATAACCTTGTAAATAGCTCAGTGGATTTGTATGATGGAGCAAGGACAGAGTCAGCTGGAGCACTGCGGGACCTGGCTCAGAAGCTGGAGGAGAAGTTGCAGGAATTTGAGCAGATCCACATGCTCTGCAGTCAGACTCATTTCAGTGACGCCTCCGTCAGCGGAGATGACATGTGCAGGACTAGGGATGGGGAGGTACACTCTCACAAGGGAAATAGTGTGATGTTACGTCTATGGAACTGAGTGCAGAGGAGTTTGTATTTCTGTGTCTGAGCAGAGCAAAGTCAATGCAGACAGCCAGTGACTCAAGGAGAAGACAGAAACTGGAGTCTAAAAGAAGGGGCCAGAGTGACCTAGGGAGTGGGGAGTGGGACAGAAACATGGTGGGTGTGAACAGGGAGGGCTGTACAGGAACAACCAATGAGAAGGCAGGAAAACTGGGGAGCTGAGAATGGGAGAAAGCCAGAGTGGGAGTTCTGGGTATGGAGAAGACACAGCAGGACACCACATGCCCTCCCTGAGGGAAGGGTCCCTATGACCTCTAGGCTATTCTTCCCAGCGTCAGCAGGATCAACTCACCCTTGTGTCCTCCAGGCAGTGTCCTCTGGACAGTAACAGTGGTGGTGATGGTGGTGATGATGGTGATGAAGATGATGTTGAGGATGGTGGTGGTGACAGCAGAAATATGGAGTTCTTGAGAAGTAGCCAGCCCTCCAAGGGGACGGGGTCACCTGAGAGACCAATGACATTAGAGTGAATGTCACTGTGTTGTGATGGGTCATTGGTGGATTCTAGGGGTAGAGCATCAAGGCAGATTTACATAAGAGGTCAAATAACTTGTGGTTTGGGGGTCAACTCTGCTGTGACAGGAGACTTAGCCTGTGACCCTCAGCTTCCCTCTGTTGGGGGGAAGCATGCTGGTCAAGATGGTGTCTCAAATGAACTGACTCTTGTCCTTTTATGTTCTATAGACTTTTGTTTAATAAATATTATCTAACTGGTGTAGAAAAATGGAGTAAAAAGCATCAATTACAATACAAGAAGGTGGCATGGGACCAAAGATACAGGCCATCAGGATAACTCAGACCATACTTTTGATGGAAAGCTATGGGCAAATGCCAGGCTGAGGGAAGCAGGTAGCCTGGTGGGCTGCACCAGGGAGCACATGAGGGCTTATGTATGCTAAGCAGGAAAATGGTGACACTCATCACAGTTAATGTGGCTGCTCTAGTCTCAGCTAACAGGGATGTCAGGCTTGGTCCCCCCACTAACAGCACTGGGGACCCTTGCACAGCCCCACATTCTAGTGCAATGGCAGGAGGGCCATGAGGGAGAGCAGGTTGGGGTTTCTCATGGCTGCTCTTGATGGTTGGACTCAAGATGGCTGAAGTCAGCCCAAGCTGGCTCCCTGCACTGACTTACTGAGCCTGTGTAATGTTGGCTCACTGGCTCCTCTAGACACAGGTCTCCTCCCTTCCCTTCACCACAGGACAACAATGTCATGGTGTTTTAAGTGTCGTGACTCATCTCAGGCACTCAAGGATGAGAATCACATTTTCAAAACCCTTGAGAGTTTGAGGATTTCTCTTCTTCTGGGGAACCAGGCTGGTTCAGAATGGGCTGTCAGTGTGCATGAGATTTTCCTCCCTGTGATTTGCAATTCTTCAAGGTTTGTCTCTCTTGGTCTCTCAGATATCCATCTAGTCTGAGTCAAGCTCCTTCGCTGGGGTGTTGGCTAGGGTGGGGTGACCACAGTGGCCTGGCACCTTGGTGCTGACCCCTCCTGTCTCCACTAGATGAGACTAATACTAACACACAGAAGAATTTGGATAGCTTCCTTTGGATTGGGATCATATTGCCGTTGGTTGATGTTTCCTCTGGGCCAAAGGTATTTGTAGAGTCTCCATCTCTGAAGTGTTGAACATCTAAATGACTTTCTTGTGGTGTCACTGTTCATGCTGAGCAGGTCCCTAGCAGGTCACCAGAACTCCAGGTGGCACTGGCTCTGCTTGTGTCCTTGGAGTTAGAGAGAAAGGTATGAGGGGGAGGTGTTCCCATCCCCCATCCTATGAGTGTGTATCCCCATCCTGACTGTTCAAGGGTCTCTGAATGATCCAGTCTGTTCCTCACTCTGAACAAGGGATCCCACCATGTTTGGCTTGTGACTCAGGAAACATTTACACTATACTAAATCTCACAGTGTTTCCCACCAAGCTAAAGTCATGCTGGTGAAAGAAGAGGATTCAAAAGAAAATTTTTTTTTTTTTAATGGCAAACATAGCTTTCTACAAGGAAGCATGGTCAATAGAGCATCATGTCCAAGTCTTCATGCTGGCTTGACTCTCAGTCTTTGAGTAGTGGATTGAAAGCTGATGGCTCATTTCTCACTCCTGTCTCCCCATCTGCAAAATCATAGCACAGTCACATATTACATGTGGTAACTACACACTGGTTTGAAAATGAGAAAGATATGTATTGTAGGGAACTACTGTAAGATTTCAACAAAATGGTGAAATAATTTTGGGTCCAGTGTAGTCACCTGCTCTCCCCGCTGCAAAGCTCCAAGCACATGGCCATTATGTCCAAAGACATTTGTCTAGGTCCTAGATTCTAGGATGAAATAGGCCCCTAAAGAAAGGGTTATGCTGACCCCTGGTGCCCAGCTCCTCTCAGTCCCTTCTCCTGAAACAAAGCAGAGAAGTCCCACAGCCACCAGCTGCAGGTCTCTGGTAGAACAGAGGACTTTAGCCTGTCCATCAAAGATGTCATGAGAGTGAGAATTAGGTAGTTGACTCTGCCATAGAAGATGCTGGGAAATTCTGAAGGAAGCAATACAAGATGAATTTAAGTAAAGGCAGATTCCAAGTGCCATGCTCACCAACATCAGCAGACCACTGGCAGCACCATTCACTCCAGAGCCAGGGACTACATGAGGTGTAAGGAGAAGCTGGCATGCTTGGGGAGAGACAGGGAAGGTCAGAAGCCTGGATCTGTGGAGAGTGATATCTGGAAGGTCCCTGAGCCTCTAGTAGCAAATATTTTTTCTTAAAGACTATGGAGGACACACAAACAACATGGGGTGTACAGAGAAGAATCTAGAAAGTGATCCTGTGAGAGCGTGGGGCTCAGCAAGGTGAGCCTGGGGTTTCACCTGGATCTGAGCTGCTCCGAGGAGGAGGCTTTCCCTCACCCTTTGAGTCCTTACCTTAGTCAGGTTGTCACAGACACAGCCAGTGGCGGCACCCACACTCCTGAGACCTGCATCCTGCTCAGATTCAGCCAGAAGACTCCACTGTAAGTTGGGTAACGTGTATAGGTCCCCCACTTGCTCATCTTCAGCACAGCTCTAGAGCAGGGTGTGGGCCCATTTTATGTCCACACTCAATGACAGTAGAACTGGACTCAAGGCAGAGTTGGATCTGGCAGCTTTTGTTAAGCACAGGAGAGGGTGGGAAAGCCCTCAGTGGGATCAGGGAGCTGCCAGGGCTCTGCTTGGATGACAGAATGCTTGATACATGACAGGGGATCCCAGAGGGTCAGTGTCTGCTGGGGATGCCCACTCCACTGAGAAATGGAGGAAACAAAGAGATGGAGAAGGGCGGGGGCCTAAAGCCTGGCCATCCCTGGTGTCTTGTCAGAAAAGCTGGCCTGGGGTGCTGCTACTCTAGCAGGATGGGGACAAAGGCCACCTTCTGAGATACAAGGACCTTTTGAGGGGTGCAGGAATCTCACACAACCTGTCTCTGAGGAACTATTCTATGTCAGGCTTTGTGGGGAAACTGAGGCTGCAGGAGAGAGTGGCTTGTCTGGGATTCTGGAAAGGAGGCTGAGCAGTGGGTGGCAGGATTGTATCCTCTGGGCCTCATCTGTTCTCTGCTCAGCCTGTGGGGGATGGGGACAATGGCAGGCTCTGTCTTGTGCATCTGGGTGAAGAATATGATGTGAAGGACATACACCCACCTTCTCGGATGAGACCTAGCTGGCTCCAGGAAGACACGTGTCTCAGCCTCTGTCCCACAGGTCTCCATGGTTACTCACTACCTGGCTATCTTTGCCCCTGTTCTGTATCAGGGCAGCAGAGAAATTCCTAGTTCTTGTAGACTCTGGTTTGTCTGTCCACTTCCTTATGGTTGACAGTCAGCTCTTTCCCAACCTTTTAGACAAAGCAAGTTGTTCTAACCCCACAGTGTCTCCATGGATACTCTCTGCTCTCTCCCTGCAGTAGATGTGGGGTGCCTGTGGGAACCTCACTGGGTCCTAGAGAAAGAGGCTGCACATCTGTTCCTGGTTACCAGCTCTGGCCTGATACAGGGATCCCGCCAAATCCACTGGTCCTGGGAGAGCAGTGGGTGTGGGGTAGGTGGCAATTGTAAAGTGGAGTGCCCAGGGAAATAGGACATCCAGAGCAGGGAGAGACTGGGCAAGCCTGCAGGGTGCATGTGGTGTGTAATGACCTCAAAAGGGAGGCACGGAGGGGAATTTGGGGGGATGGAAGAGCCCAGTACAGAGTTCTGGAGTCCTGGAAGGTCCTTCTACTGGGGGGAGGGTGATGAGGGAGTGGCTTCGCAGGGAGCAGGGCTTGTATGCTGTGTGGAGGCCCTTGAACCTGACACCAGGAGAAGCTGGAAGTCCTGACCCCTGTGTTCCCTCCTAAAGCAGAGACAAGGTGTTCCACTGCCACTGAGAGGCTGTGCAGACAGCCTCAGTTCTGCCTCATCTGGAGAGCTCAGCACAGCGGGGGAAGGAGGTTCCCTGCCTGGGCTTCCAGTTCACCAGAAGCAGGACAGAGCAGAAACCATCTGAGACCCCTCAATGCACCTTCCCAGGGGACACTCATCCCCGAAGGCAAGAAGTGTTAGGTTCAAGGCAGGTTCAGAGCTGACCAAAAGAGCCTTCTTCTACCTCCAATGCTGAGGATCCAGGGTGCTGTGCATGCTAGGGAAGCACTCGGGTATATCCCCAGCCCAGAGGATCATGGGACAATGAGACCCTCAGGGTGGATGCTGTTCTAATGTTGTGAGGTCACTCAAGACTCAGTCTCATCTTGTTTACCCACCAGGCCAGCACTGTTCCCCCACTTGCTCACCTTCACCACATCTCTAGAAGAGGGTGTGGACCCATTTTATAGATGGTCCCCGTGTTTCTGGGGTCCTGCAGCCTGTGAATAGGAAGAAAGAGAAATCGACAGGTAGCTCTCCTGTCACAGCTGTATCTGTAGCAAGAGCCCCAGAAGTCCTTTAGCAGCCTTCTCTTCCCTTCCTGGCCTGTGTCCTTTGATCACTGTTAGTTCAACCGTTGCACATGACTAGAATCCTGGATGTCCGGTGTCCTAGAGGAGTCGCAGGATGGGGAAGGCAGAGGAGTGGCTTCTGCACATCCGGGACCTCGGGAGCCACTGTGCTGCTGTGATAAGGTCAGTGAGCAAACACCAGCTGCCGAGGAAAGGAACCTTCGGGAGCCATGGCCACCTCTGACAAGCTTCACAGGGACCTCACAGATGTGCTGGTTTATTCATTCCTCTTCACATGACACTAGCAACATACACCTGTACAGTCCATGTCCATCAGCCATAGATCCTGGGACACTCCTGTCAGAGTCCTGTGAGTCAGTCAGGTGTTCTTCTCAGTGAGGGAGAAGACCTGCCTTGGGATCATGGTATTAGTGAAGGAGATGGGAGAAGTCACTGCAGGAGCTGGGCTTTGGTGAGGTTGGTTGCAGGAGTGTCTACAGTAGTAGTTCTCAACCTTCCTGATGCTGGGACCCTTTGATACAGTTCCTCATGTTCTGGTGTCCCCAATCATAAAATTATTTTCACTGACAATTCATAACTGTAATTTTGCTACTGTTATGAATGTGGTGCAAATATCTGATATTTCCAATGGCCTTAGGTGACCCCTGTGAAAGGGTTGATAGCCCCCCAAAGAGGTCCCAACCCACAGGTTGAGAACCACTGGTCTCCAGTGTCTGCTACAGAAAGTGAGGAAGGATCTGTCTATAGGTGTCTCTGTAAACCTTATCTCTACAGAGGGGGACATTTTTTTAAAAAAGTCAGTTGGTCTTGGAGGACAAAAGAGTCTCTTAATCTGCTCTGAGACAATGACTACAATGAAGCCTGTAACTAGGTCATTAGGAAGAATAGAGATCTGTGAAGCTCAAGGAGCAGGGGCTGGGAATCCGGGAACATGGCCGCACCTGTGTCTAGGATTCTGTCATCACAGACAAGATGGAACAAGCGTGTATCTGATTCATTTTGATCATATTCACCGCAATTAGCTTCTTGTGCCCCCCCTACTCCCGCTGACCCCTCCCTCTTTGTAGCTACTCACCCTTCTACTGTTCTCTGTTTTTCCTTTTTCTGCTTCTGTGGACCTTTATAGTGCTAGAATTGGTCTGTGACATCTGGTAGCATTGTTTTCTGAAGTTGGGTGTGCCTGTTTTGGCGTTCTCACATCTGGAATTGTGATATCCTCTTGAGTGACTGTCCCTATAGTCAGCGGCCATCTCTGTCCTTTC